CAGGTCACCAGGAAGTGTAGAGAAGTGGGGGTATGGGAGATGTGGGAGAGTACAGCCAGAGGAAAGGGAAGAAAGGCTAAAACTGAGAAGTATTCTGCTATTGATAAATAGCATAAACAGAACAATCATTAGGTCATATCCACAATGAAATTCTGCAGTGATGCATGGAACACAGCAACAGTGGTGCTATGTGGAAAGTACCTGTAGTATAAACTCCTGGAAGACTTAAAAGTCTTTTTTCAGTACATTGCAAGTGCATGTGTATGTGATCATTGTATCTCAATGGCATAAGATAGATTTGTCAGGAAGGCTAATATTTTACTTGAAAATTTCTGAGTACTAACACATGTTAGACCACATGAATGACAAATTTATAGATTGTAGATTGCCAAAAAATTAATTTCTTTACTGTTTAGAGGGCCTTAATTATGTTAAGTGCTGGCAGTGTTCAGCAAGGGATGACCCACATGGACAGGTCAGTAAAGGCCTCCTAGAGACTGGAGGTGGGATGTCAAAGAGTGACTTAAGAACTGGGGGCTAGGATGTGAATTAATTAGAAAAGGGAGCAGTGTTTTGGTGTCTTTGCAAACCGTAGTTGTTCAGTCGAGCAGGAGTCACAGCGACCCTCAATCAGTGGTTCATAGTCACAGGTATTCTATATTACTCCTGAATGTGGGTTTTCTGAATTATAGTTCTTTTAGATTTTTAAAAACATTTTTTAAGTCTTTGTGTATTTGAAAAGCAGAAAGAAATCTCCCATGTGCTGGTTCATTCCCCAGATGGTTGCAATGGTTAGAGTTGAGCCAGGCTAGACTTGCAGTTTCTTCCAGGTCTCCTACATGGGTGGCAGGGGGCCAAGAACTCGGGCCGTCCTTTACTGGTTTCCCAGATGCATTTGCAGGCAGTTGGATTAGAGGTAGAGTACCTGGGATTTAAAGTGGTGTGATATGGGACGTTGGTGTTACAGCAGGCAGCTTAACCTGTTAAGCCACAATGGCGGCCTCAGGCTTTTTAGATTCTATACCTGTTTCCTAAGCTCTGCATACTAGTCTACAAGAAGTATTTATGGGATTCTGCTTCAGTAATGGTAGCTTTTTGTTTGTTTAAGAAATGAGTGATTGTGCTGCTAGCTTAAAGGTAGGAAGAACAAAAGAAAATCCTAGAATAAAGATAGCCAGTTCACCGAGTGATTAGGCTGGTGTTCTTTATATATTTAAGCTTAGGTCAGTGTGAAAGTTTGGATGATCTCTTGCTATGAGTAAGGAAACGTAGATGGGTTGTAGCCATGTTGAGAAAGAATATCTCTGTGGATAGCTCTATGACGGAAGAGAGCTCTAATAGGAATTAGGAGTAATTCCCTAAACTCATCTGTTGCTCTGATGCCTGTTAAGGAATGAGGTTACAGAGGGTTTTTTTCTGCCTTGTATTGGAATCTTTGGGCAGGGGCCTGCTTACAGAAAAAGAATACACAGGGAAGCAAAACAAGAATATTAACTATATTAGAAACCCTGTACTCCGCTTTAGAAGGCAGATGATAGGAAGGAATTGAACATCTGTTATATAAGAGCAAATGTGTTAAAGCTTTTCTTTGAATATCAAGGCATTCAACAAAGAAGGTATGGGTTTAAATTATGGCTCCCAGCTCCTATCAGCTTTGCAGTATTGGATAAAGTATCTGACTTATTCCAGTTTTTTCACTGAAAAGATTAGGGAAGTAACTCCTAGCATACCAGGCAAGTAAGATGATTAGAAAAAAGCTATTTTTGTAGTATGAAACACTCAACAAGCTTTATGTCTTTGCTATTATTTTTCCTCTTCTATCCTGCCTCTAGCTTCTGGGGAACAGTCTGAAGCATGTGTCTGCTTATCTGGTTCTGGCTGGAGGAGAGATGTTTCTCAAAGGCTATCTCATTCTCTGGTCGCACAGAAACAATTCTGCTTTCTTCTTGATCTGTAAAATGAGTTAAAATTCCTTAAACACTGTGTTCTATCTCGCCTCTCTCCAACAGAACGATGAAACACACCATACAATTTCAGCAAACAGTACAAGGAAAAGATGCAGGGGCCTGGTATGTAGAGCCTTCCATACTGATGATCTGGAAGGGCAGGCTGTTTGTGCAGAAGGAGCTCTGGTAATGGCATTGTGTAGATTTGGGTTTAAATTTCTGAACTTTCTGTCCATTTGCTAGATATGTGACCTTGTATTAGTCACTTAGTCTCTCAGAATCACAAATGCTTCCTCAAAGTACAGTTAATAATATCATCATTCAAGCTTAATATGAAAACCAGAAATAATTAATGTGGAGATATCATAGGGTCACAGTCCTCACTGTTTTTACGTCTGGGAATCTACATGTTACCACAGCTTTGATTTCGTGGGTGGTATGAGTGAAGTGTCTGATTTCATGGAGCTGAAGGCTGGGCTTATCTCCCACTGTCGGTCAGTCTTTTCAGCTTCATGCTGGTAACGTGGTTATCATCCCAGAGGGAGTCAGGAAAACCAGGGATCTCTTGAACAAGTTTGTTTTTGGTTTAGCTAGGTATTTAGTACTCAAGTTCTCTTATGGAGCTTTAATTATGCACGAGAGGGATTTGGGAGTTTGGGAGTCTTACTCCGCTCATGGAAAAGGCAGAATGCTTTGTAACTTCTCAGGTAAGGGCCAATGCTTCCCCCATCCTGAGCAGGATGGCCGTGGCAACGGGAGAATGAATGGTGTCCTTGTTCTTGCAGAATGGGGCCCATTCTGCATGTTCCACCTTCAGACCCTCTGACAGTCCCCCCTCTGCCCACTCTCTCTGGATCTTTAGGACAGACAGTATCACAGAATAACTCAGAAGACATGCCATTTCAGTTCACATCATGTGTCCATGCTTTCAAATCTTCCCTTTTCACTAAAAATATGCAGCAGTCTGATTACACGGCTCTTTGGAGGAGCCCAAATCCCCATTCTATTTGATAATGCTGTGCTAAGCTTGGCATTTTTAAAATAAGGTTTTCTGACAAAAGGATCTGCCCCTGTACCTAGTCTTCGGGTGGCAGTCATTACAGAAAGCAGGAGCAAAGATGTGACCTCAAATTACATCATTGCATGCTTTTCTTTAATCTTCTGGGCCTCACCACTTGGAAATAAGTGAATCAGTACAAGTGAAACTGTTTGAGTTTGTCTTTTTTTCTCTCTTAGGAAACAAACAAAAACCTATGGCTCAGAGCCATTGTGATCACTGGGTCAGAGATTTGCACCAAGGGAAATGTGAGTACCGGCCTCCTGATGTGAGGCTTCCAGGAGTCAGTACGTGGGAAGTGACGCAGATGGTGCGTGCACCAGGGTGACTACTGCAGGATACTGTAGCTCTCACTCCTGGGCGGGCGGTGCTGCTGGCTCCAGGGCACTGCTGGCTCCAGGGCACTGCTGCCTCTGCAAGCACTATCAGCTGGACCGCAGAAACCCATCCAGAGAGCAGATAGCCACAGAACACCATATCTCACGTGACTTACACGAGATAATTGAAATGTCTGGCAAAGGCAAATCTAGAGAGAATAGAGGAGATCCTGGAGGGTATAACTCAAGGGTGCGGGTTTATTTATTGTTTGGATGATGAAAAAATTCTAAAGTCATCTGTGCATACATTAAAATCCATTGAATGATGTGCTCTACACGGATGAATTATACAGTAAATGGATATCGTAAGTTTTACCTGTTCAACATTACTGTCATGACCAATCCAAGAAACTGCATCTGTCCCCTGCACCCATGAAATAGTCTCCTAACTGGTCTTTGCACTGTCCTAAGTGTCTTCACAGTGCATGTACCACAGGACACTGTGGTACTGATGCAAAGCACAATAGGCCGTATGCATACGTGACTATTTCACCACTATCTCATTATTCCCAACAAATCGGAATGGAACTTGTGGCCTTAGGTTCTTCATGAGTTGGTCCTCGTGCCTTCTTCCTCAGCCTCCATTCTCCCTGTGTTTATTTTGCTTGTATTATACTAACAGTCTTGCCCTTCAGCATGCCAGTTCATTCCTGCTGGTTCCAACAGCTTTCTGTTTGCCATTCACATGCCTGAGAATTTGTCCCTTCCTTCCCATGAGCTATTTCGTAAAGATCAGAGAACCTTACAGAGAACCTATTCCTGGCCCACTTTTTTTTTTTTTCAGTTATCCATTCTTCACCAATGTCTATTTCCTTGCCTACAGGAAGTCTCCCTCACTAGTAAGTAAACTTTAGAATAGAGCTTTGCTCTTATTCACCAGTATGTTTCTAGCTCCCAGAACAGTGCCTTCAGTTTGTGTAATGAAAAATGGAAAGAAGCAAGCTACCACATTGACTGCAGAGGCACCAATACAAACACATGCTCATCAGGCTCATTCTTCATCTGTGTGTACTTCCAATTCTAGAGCCTCTTTTGGGGTAGCTCACTTATTTTTGAAGCTTAGAAAAAAAATGTTCAGGGGTAGAGAGGAGCAGGTATTTGATGTAGTGTTTACGATGCTGCTCGGGGTACCCAAATCCCATATAGGAGTATCTGATTTAAGCATCAGTTTCCTGCTAATGCACATTCTGCAAGCCAGAAGGTGATGGCTCAAACATTTGAGTCCCTGTCACTCAAGTTGGAGAGCCTGGTGGAGTTCCTGGCTCCTAACATCAGCCTACCTCAACCTTGGCTGTTGTAGGAAATGTGGTGATGTGAACTAGCACTTGGAACTTTGGTGTTTGTCTCTCTCTCTCTGTTTCTCTGTGTTCTAGGTCTCTCAACCGTTCAAACAAAATGAAAATTAAAAATCTTAGGCGGGCCTTTCTCAATGCCATTCAGCCTATTCTACTTAGAAAACAACTTGAAGATTTCATGAAACTTTATAAAAAAGAACGAAGACATTTCAGAGCCTTTGTTTTGCCATCCATTTCTGGTCTGAAGGTCAGCAGTATTGTATTGGGGACATGGAGATGGGGTCTAGGTTGAAGAGGATCTGTTTTTGTTCTCAGGTTTACTTACAGTGTGGGCTCTCCTGGGCCCCTGTCCTCAGGAGAATCCTAGCAATGGGCACATTGTTCGTCATGATGGCAATGTCCAGGGGTGTCAAGCCCTCACTGTTGGGTGTGTTGAGATCTAGTTCTTCCGCTGTGTACTGATACAGGAGGATCTGCACAGCATCAATGTCCTGCTGTTCAACGGCCTCAAACATGGCTTCATTGCCTTGGAAATTCTGGGGAAGAGTGGAAATAGGTTAGGCAACTTCACAGAACAGTATGTTTTTGCAGCTTAAATATTTGGAAGCGTACGTTGCCTCAGCAACTGCATTATCTTTTCTTTGTCTGCATAATTCTTCCTTTGAAGGAAAAAAAAAAGAGAGAAGGACAGAGAGCTCTTCCATCCACTGCTTCCCTCCCCAAATGGTCTCAAGTGCCAGAGCTGAGCCAATCCAAAGCCAGAAGCGTCTTCCTGGTCTCTCCCATGGGTGCAGCCTGACCTGTCCATAAGTAAAGGCAAAAATCAGTTCCTCAGCCAGTCTTGTGTGGATATTGTTTGATAGGAAATTAAAAGGTATTCTATGGGGCTGGCTGGCATAGAAAGTAAAACTGCCTGTGGTGCTGGCATCCCTTACGGTGCTGGTTGGAGACCTAGTTGATCCACTTCCAATCCAGCTCCTTGTTAATGCACCTGGGAATGTGGTGGAGAACGGCCCAAGTGCTTGGACCACTGCACCCACACTGGAGATCTGGAAGAAGCTCTGGACTCCTGGATTTGTTCTGGCCCAGCACTGGCTATTGTGGGAATTTAGGGAGTGAACCCCAATGGGTTCCATCCCTAGTGTGTGGAAGCACTGTACTTCACTAACTCTGACATCCAAATAAGAAAATAAAACCAAATTATAAGTACTGTATGATGAAAGTAGCACATGGTCATATAAATTTGGTAAACACTGGATTAAACAGTTACTCAACTGTTTAACTGTAAGAACTCTTAGGTCCTTGGATCACTTTAAAGTATTTTATTACCTTTCTTTAACTACTTTTGGAATGGTGTTCCAGAGGACACAGTGTGTGAAAATGCTGGCAGAGACAACATTAGCACAGGTGGTTTCACTTGTGACTATCTTGAAATTGAGAGTACACTGGTCTATTTTCTCTCAAAGCTACCTCTTCTCTCCAAACCCAGATTTCCTTACCATTTCATTTTCTGAATCACGGCAGTGACCTGTTACTGGTTTTGCTCCCCTCTAGCCCATGCTCCATGGTGATTTGGAGCAACCTTCCTGAAATATATATACTATATATCACCCTGTGTACAAATCTACATTTAGCTGTCTGGCCATAGTCCTAGACTTTTTGGTGTTCTAATTGCATGCTTTTTCAGTGCAGAATCCCAACCATTGACCACCTGACAGTTTGAACCCTGAGATTTAGGGCTTGGGAAGACAGAATATTTATAGAGCACACTTATCCTACAGAAGAAAAATACTAAATACTAATACCTTTGGAAAGATTTTTTAAAGGATGAATGCTAAACAAAGGCAAAGAGTTCTGCAGTTCTTTCAAATTGATACTTTAAGAGCTTATAGGAAACTTGGAAAAAGTTTTCATGCCTAGAAAAATTTTCCAATCCTTTCAATGTTTTGTTATTCTCATTGTAGAACTTTATCATATCCTTGGTTCAATTTATCCCAAGGTATTTAAATATTTTAGTATTTTTTGTGAATGGGACGTATCTTCCAAGTTCTTAGCTGTGGCATTGTTTACGTATACAAATGGTACTGATTTTTTGTGTGTGTGACTTTATATCCAGCAATTTTGCCAAACTCTTCTGCATTCCAGTAATCTCCGTAGTGGACTCTGTTGGTTCTCTTACATGTGGGATCATGTCATCTATGTGCAGGGATAATTTGAATTCTTCCTTTCCTGTTTCTATTCCTCCTGTTTTTTCTACACTAATGGCTTTGGAAAAAAGCTTTCAGAACTCTGTTATTGGTAATGGTCAGAGTGGGCATCCTTGTCTGGTTCCTAATCTCAGTTGAAATACCTCTTGCTTCTTCCCACTCAGTGTGATGTGATGATGTAGGCTTGTCATTCATTGCTTTCCCTATTTTGAGATACATTGCTTGTATATCCAATTTGCTCACAGTTTTTCATTTTTTTTTTTTAGTATGAACAGATAGTATATTGTTACCAAATGCTTTGCATCTATGGAGGTAATCACGTGATTTTATCATTTAATTTGTTGCGAGGTATCACATTTATTGATTTGCATATCTGTATGCAAGGAGTAATCCCACTTGGTCAGTGACTGATTTTTCTGATGTGTTGGATTTGATTAGCTAGTATTTCGTTAAGGATTTTTGCACCTATATTCACTACAAATAATAGCCTGCAATTCTCTTTTCTTGTATCTTTTACTGATTTTGCAATAAAAGCGCTGCTAGCCTCAAAGGAGCTTGAGAAGATTCCAATGTAGTTCTTCCTGAAAAGTTAGAATTCAGCAGTGAAACCATCCGATTGCCGGCTTTTCTTTATTGGAAGGTTATTTATCATTGATTCAACCTTCACCTTGGTTATTGGTCTAAATAGATTTTCTATGTCTTCATGACTCAAATGTTCAAAAATCAATCTTTCATCTAAATTTTACAATTTGTTGGCATTTGGCTGTTTGAGATAATTACTAATGATACTTTATGCCATCTGACATCTTCTTTTTTATCTCTGATTTTATTAATTTGGATCTACTCTTTAAAAAAAGGCTATAGTATGCAAAACAATTTACTTATTCAGTGTGATTCCAGTCAAAATGCCAAAGTATTTTCTCCCCAGACCTGGAAATTCATACAGAATCTCCAGAGATCCTGAATCAATCCTAAACAATAAAAATAAAATTGGAGCCATCACAATATAAAGTCTATATTCAAAACAACCTGGTACTGGTTTAAAATAGGCATGTGGAACAGTGGAACAGATTAGAGACCCAGAACTTAATCCATGCATCTACAGTCGATACATGTTTAGCAAATGAGCTAAAATCACTCCTTGGAGAAAAGACAGTTTGCTCAGCAAATGATGTTGGGAAAACTTTATGCACACAGAAGTATGAAACAAGACCCCTAATTTACATCTTATATCAGCTCTCAATGGCTTCAGGATCTAAATGTAAGACATGACACCTTCAAATTTTCAGGGAAAACACTCTAAGACATTGGAGTAGGAGAAGACTGCTTAGCTAAGGCTCCAGAAACACACACAGTAAAAGCAACCATAAACAAGTGGGAGAAAAGATTTGCAAACTGTACGTTTGATTAAGGATTAATATGTAGGATATATAAAAAGCTCAAACTAAACAACAAAACGAGTAATCCGGTTAAGACATGGGGTAAGGATATGAACACGCATTTTTTCAAAAGATGGAATAGAAATGTCTAGCAGATACATGAAGAAGTGTTCTGTCAGCTGCATGTCTGTCAGCTGTAGCATGTATACATAATGGAATACTACTTAGCCATAAAAAGAATGAAATCCTGTTTTGCTCAACAAATGGAATGGAATTGGACAACCTGTGGCTTAGTGAAATAAGCACCCAAAGACAAGTATCTTACACTTTCCCTTATTTTCGGTAATACCAAAAACTCAATTCATGTGAGCAGAGTTGATGTTTTGAGATTTGACCATAGTTTATAGCCCTTGTCCTATTCCTGAGAACCTGTGGCTTTTCTACTGCATGCTGAATTCTTTAGTGGAGGGTTCAGCTTGTGATTATAAAGTAAACAAAGTGTAACAATCTAAAAGGAAAAAGAAGAAAGCAAAGAGGTGGGAGGCAGGACAGAGTAGAACACAGCATAGGCCCTTAACTGCAATCTTAAATACATTAAATTTATTACGTCAATTTCCACAAACTAATGTGACCAGTTTGTGGGAAATAGATTTAAAAGGTAAGCTTCTTGGATGGAAGGAATTTCGCAGTTTGTGCAAAGCATGTTCAAGAAGTTCATGCAAAATGTGTATTGTGGGAAAAAGTTATGCATGGGTTTCAAACATTCTTGGATCAAGCTAAATTTTACCTTGTAATTACATTTTCTGTGAAGTTGTTGGAAGTACCCTGGTGTTTACACATCTCTGGTGTCTCCTCCCAGAGTTACTTAGTCTTTAAAAGTACTGAAATAATATTGGTCTTGACTTAGCATAAAAGTCACCTGATCAACAGGTAGAAAAGCTCCAGGGATTCCATGTTCAAGTGGTCATGTTTTTAGTCTTATTAGAAGTCGAATGTCCTTATTGTAGGCTGAAGGTAACTTTAACTGCATACATGGAACAAAATTGTAACTGTAGGTAAATATAAAGCCATTATACAAATATTGCTTTGACAGTGGGGACTCACGGGATGGGGTCCTTTGGTTTTCAGTTTTCTACTGCAAGATAATCTGTTGAATGGAAGCGTGTTTTGTGTATGATCTGCTAAACTTAAAAGCCTCTGAGGCCAAGGTTCCAACCAGATCACAAAGCACAAGAGAAAACAAATGAGTTCAAAGTTAAAACACTGCCTTGGCTAAAGTTCTGCGTTTCTTTTTGATTGTTAGCATTGCTAATTTCTCATGTACACTATTTATTCTTACTCTTAAATTATTTCCTGTTCCTTGCTTTCTTTGGCAAATTCTGCCTTGCCTCTATCTGGAAAGGCTAAATACTCACCTGCTTTCTACTCAACAAAATGTCACTACTCACAGCAAAAACTGTTCTTGTTGGGCCTGTTAATATTAACAGCCTGGGCTTTTCCTGCAGGCCAGTGTGAGCGACTACTGTATGGAAATGTCTGTGACATCACAGGTAACTGCTCTTTCTGCCCTTCGTGAGTACATGATGCACCATGACATCTGTACAGACCAGAGGACTCTGCAACAGCAAGATATGCATCCTGCCTGATGGACATTCAGTTGTGGGACAATGGGATGCAGTGGCCCAAGGTATTCTTTTTCTGCTTTGAGTGATACACACAGTGATACACTTCAGTTATTGTAATTGCCTAGGTTTTGGGTATTTTTTTTCTCCAATATTTTATTTTTCTAGTTTTGTTCCTCTCCTCTCTTTCTTTTTGAGTTCCTCTTCTACTTTCTTCCTTTCCTTTCTCATTCATCATATCTCTTTGAATATGTATGTATGTATTAACAATATTTTTTGCTTGGATTGTTTTGAATGCCTTTGGAAAACATACAGTTACATAAGAAAGCAAATGATACATGTATTACTACTTGTATTTAACACTGGAGCTCCCAGAATGCCTATTTATTTCTAAGCTTCCTGTTTGCCAAACTGCTATTTTTTTAAAAATGTTAATTAAGGGAAAAGAAAGATTTAAGGAGGAGGAAATAAATTTTTGGAGTCATTCCAGCCTCACTAGAAACAGATAAATATGTAAATCTGGCCATTCCTGACTTTAGCATTTAAATTTCAAAAACATTAGCTTCAGATAAATATGGGTCCTCTGTAACTGAACAAGTCAAACTGACATAAGAATGAAAAAAGCTTTCTTACCACTGATGGCTTTCTGAGACTCAGCCGATCAGTCCTGTTTCTAAAATAGGCCTCGTCAAATGAAGAGTGACTCCCCTTCAGTTTCTCAGACAGGTTCCTGTACAGGCGTTTGGCGGCATTGGGAGATGCTGGGGCGCTATGTTTTTTTGATTGAGAAAGGTGTAAGTTGTACATTTGTTGAGTCATTTTCATGCAACAATTCCTAAGAACAGAAAAAAAAATCAGATATCGTATCATTTACACAACAGAACCATAAACTCACAAAGAATTGTAGCCTCTCCAACAGCCATCTGGAATGCTAATTCAATGTTACAGCTAGATGGAACCTCAGAGATCCTCAACTGTAGAGTCTCTGTGTTATAGATGAGAGCGAGTTGGAGGGAAAGGAAGTGCTTGTTTATGGCCACAGAACTAATTGGTGACAAAAGAAATGAGTTTCTTTTATTTAAAAATATCATTTACATATAAACATATGAGGATTCTTCAGAAAGTTCATAGAAAGGTAGGTATATTCATTTAGATGTAAAGAATTGTCTATGCATATGTTTGCTTATAAATACTCATTTCCATGAATGTTTTGAAGAGCCATCATACATACATATATAGTATGAACCCAGTCTTTGATCTCTATCCTAACTATGGGAATGTCTTAATTCATAACTTAGGGATTTCTTTCTCTTGGGCAAATGTAAGTAGAACTTTTTCATTCAGCCCTTCCTGGGTGCTGGCTTCTGTCGGGCAGATGACGAGTTGAGGTGGCTCCCTGCCGACTCGCCTTCTCTCAAGATTATGGCAAAACTGTGCCTGTCCTCTAAGTCTTTGTAACTACCCTCGTCTAAGAGACCTGTAGATTTTGTTCTGGTACACCATCCATGTTCACCTCAAAAACTCTTCGAGTTCCTCCAAGGCACTCATACCAGGAATATGAACTATTTTTGTTATTTTCCATGATACAGTTTTGTAGGTATTCCCCACCCCTCCTCCTGCCATTCTCCCCCGTATTATCACAATGTATATTCACTTAGTCACAGTTACAAGCTTAACTTTCTGCTATTTAAATCTATTAGGGTATGATACTGTAGGCAAAAGCAGAAAATCCTGTAGTGTACTGTGAAGTTATATTTAAATGTCTCATTGGGAGTCCTACCTTTATTCAACAGTAGAAATACATACTGCAATGTGTCTTTATTTTCCAGTATACTAGTCTCCGTTATACAGTTCATACATAAGAATACATGCATATCAGAACATATTTGCCGTTTTAGAACTCTTATTTTACTGAGCATAATGGTGTCTGGGACCATAAATATAGGGCTACAGGTTGTTTTCTCATGTACAGATTTCATTCCATTTGAATATATTCTCAGGTGTGGATTAGCTGGGTCAAATGGTAGATCATTTCTCAGTTGTCTGAACACTCTGCATACTGACTTCCATAATGACGGCACTAGTCTACCATCCTACCAGCAGGGTTGTTTATTAATTTCTATATGTAGGCAATTCTAACTGCAATTAGGTGGAACCTCGGGGTGCTTTTTATTTGCATTTCCCTATTAGCTAGGGAGCCTAAGTGTCTTTTAAAATATCTGTAAGCATCTGAATCTGTTCTTCTGACAAAGGTCTGCTCATGTCCTTCACCCGATTTTTAACATGGTCTTTACTCTTTTTGAGTTTCTAACACTTTTTGTAGACCTAGGATATTAGTCTCCTATCTGTTGTGTGTGTAAAATTTTCTCCCATTCTATTGGTTGCCTTGTTTACCATTTCCTTTGCTGCACAGAAGCTTAGTTTGATGTAGTCCCATTTGTTTATTATGCCTGTGCTTTTGGTGCCTTTGACAATCAGAAATCTTTCTTTAAAAGATGCATTTATGTATTTGAAGTCAGATTAACAGAGAAAGATGGAGTGTGTGTGTGTGTGAGAGAGAGACAGAGACAGAGAGGGAGAGGGAGGGCGGGAGGAAGGGAGACAGAGAGAGAGTGATAGTCTTCCATTTACAGGATCACACCCTAATAGTTAGGGCTGAACCAAGCCAAAGCCATGAGCTTCATCTAGGTGTCCCATGTGGGTGCATTGGGCCATCTTTCGCTGCTTTCCCCAGGCATTTAGCATGAGAGCTGGATCATAAGGTGAGCAACTGGGACTTTGTTTTCTTGAAAAGCAGTGACACATATATGGAAGGGCAGGGGTTTTGGAGGAACAGCAAGGAAACACTCCTATCTGCTGGTTTACTCCCCAAATACAACAGCCAGGCCTTGGCTGAGCTGAAAATTGGAGCCAGGGAACACCCTTGTTTCCCACATGTATCCCAGCCAGTCGGATCATTTCTGCTGCTTCACAGGATCTGTCTTAGCCTGAAGCTGGGAGTTTCACCAAGGTGCTCTCATGTGGGACATCCTAGCTGTTGTCTTCTCCACCTGGCCAAATGCCTACCCCCCAGCATCTAGCTTCTTTTGCCTCCTGTCCAATTGCATCTCTCTCCAGTCTCATTTCCTATTGTACTCCTGGCTACCATATTTTAGTCTTCTTGGAGTTTGCCAGACAGCTGGAAGTGTTTCCTAACTCAAGGTCTTGGTGTGAACTGTTTTAAATATGCTACATCTAATCTGCCTCATCAGCTTGGAAGTGATTATTGATTATGTTCAAATGGTCTATGATGTTTCAAGACCAATTGAATGGTTTCTTTACACATTCACCTAGTGTATACCTTTATGACAAGCATCACGTACTGTTATTCTCTATCCTTCTCCCAAGAAGTCTGTAGGCTCTTCTGGAGTAAGGACTGCTAAACCTTTGAGTTTTTTTATTCATGGCACCTTAAATGTGTTTCTCATGGCAAAAGAAAGGTGGGTTAGATTATGTTTTTTTTTTCTTTTTTACCTAATAACTTAATCTTGGACAAGTTACTTAACATACTTAAGTCTCATTGCTCTGCTTTATGAACAAGGATAATAATAGCATCTGTATATTATGGTAATGAGAATTTGATGCAACGAGATATGTAAAGAGCTTAGGATACAAGAAGACGCAGTGGCTAATGTTTATGGTAAGAAGGTATTTTAGAATGACTACTTTAGAATAAATGAGTATGCGTGAGCTACAGTAGACAATTGCCTATACAGTTCATTGACTCTTCATGTGTCTGAATCAGGTTCTATGTCCTTTAGTGTCAACTAAGCATTGTTTACTTTCATTGTAACAGATTCATCTTCATTCTATTGTTAAATAGCCTTAGGCATTTGATCTTTCAGGATTTCCTGGCAGTTTCCTCTGAAACAGAAGGAGTTACTGATTGTTTTCAGTCTTTGTCATAAGCTTAAACCACTGTGTTTATGCTTCAGAGATGATGCAAATCATTGGTTCATGTGTGTTTATCTATGCTGTATTTCTAAATCTTTTTAATTTAATAGCAACATTAGGGTTTTACAGGATTTACTGCTTCCCAGTAAAATTTCAGATGGATATGCAAAGCTGGCTCACATGGGCGTTCCTTAACCACCTTTTTTTTGCCTTCTGTTTCTTGCCATTTTAATGCCCCAGTTCAAGCCATCTGTCTTGCCTACATCATTATCATTCCCAAAATAACTGAGCATTCTTTTGTATCTCCCACAATGCCCTGGAGTCCAGAAAATAAATTCTTGTCGATTGATCAAATTCCACTGACTGACCCTTTAACTGATGACACCTATCCCCATGGTCCCTCCTGTCTTTGTTCATCTCCCAGCTGTTCCCTTCATTCGAAAGAGGTTGATTTTCTCTGTCAATACTCCTCCAGCTGTCCCTTCCTTCCAGGCTACTCGTTAGCAGGTTTGTACACTTCGGTTTTTATCGATCAATGTTTTTTCTTCTCAATCTTTAAAGTATCAGATGAGATCATAGTGAGAAAGAATTTTATTTCTTCTAACTCTTCCTATAGCTCCTCTTATAATATGCTTCCAAACTAAGTTCTCTTAGATTCTTAAGATGAAAAGGGACAGCAGATGGCTATGGAATTGATAGACCTAAACCTGAATCTTGATGTTACTGAGAGGCCACAGGACTGCTGACACCTTATTTATATGTGTGAGACTAAATTTTTATGGGGGAATTATGGATTTAAACATTTTTTAAAAAGGTAAGCTTATTTTGGTACAATTTTTTGAAATTTGTTTGCAGTTCCTTCATAATATACATTTTCACAAACTTCTTGCAGACCCTGTATACACTGATTTTTCCAAATTGTATGTACTTAAGAACTATGATCTTAAATTTTTCTGTTTATAGTAACTTTGGGCAAAGCCTAAGTAGGCAGTATAACTTTCAAGTAGTAAAGGGAAGAGTAGAACAAGTAAGTTACATAAATGAATATGTAACATGAAGTACTAGGGCTAAGACTGAATGAATCTAGGAAAACAAGATACATTCAGCTATCTGCTTTTTTTATGAAAGACAATGCTAAAAATTTACATATAATACACCTAAATGTTTCACATAAAGGACTACAATAACAGCACATCAATGGGAATGTCAAACATTTCCAAAAAGCCTCCCCTCTATAAAAGCAATGAGTATAGCAGCAAAAATTATCAGAATTAACAAAAGCTTGCAACCATTCAGGAAATGTCTATTTCAGGGAAAACCGAAAGCTTTGTAGCATTTGTAGCATTTTAATTCACAATATTCACATCTATCCCAGCAAAAACTGGAAGATCTATCAGTTCCAGATATTTAAGGAAATTTGTTCAGTCAGTATTGACTGGCTACTAAGTTGCTCAAACAAATATTTTAGTGGCCACCAGGGCAGAAACAGTGATTTTTCAGAACTAAATCTATGTGAAGTGTTATAATGTGAGAACTGGAGGTAATCATATCATTAAAATAATGTTCAACCAAAAATAGATCCCACATACAGGAAATAAAACAGTCCAAAGGATTTTATTCTGAAAATGATGAGGTGTTTGGACATACTTACATGGCAATTTAAAATTGGAAACGTCTGAAATTTATGAAAATTATGCTTCTCTGAGTATCAGTAAAGATAAAATATAAAACAATCAAGAATTCTTAAGTTGAAAAGGCAAATAAAATGAAACGTTCACTAGGGAACTCAGATCTGAGCAGGTAGAAGATAGAATGTGAAAACTTGTAGATAAATAAATCGGTTTACTTTGTGCTCTTAAAACTGAATAATCAAGTCAAAAAATGAGCAACCTTGGAGGCCTG